ACCTTGAAGTCACAGAGGTCAATATGCCTCTGCCTCCCAGGCATTGGGATTAAAGTTGTGTACCACCACACCCTATATCTCCTTTTCTTTCTTTTTTATTTTTAATGACTTTAACCTTTTAGCCTGCATATATTTTTAACACACTGTAAACCATTTAGAGGTTTTCTTCGTCTTTGAATCTCTCTTTACTGTATATCTCTCTTTTTCTGACCACACGAGTCTTCAATGGGTAGGACTAAAGCCATGGCTTTGACAGTTAGATCCAGCCCATTCCTTAGCTTTCCAGTCTCATGGCTGAGATACCAGCCAGAGCTGTGTTCACTGCCACAATTCTATGGCATTTTAAGGTCCCTGCCAACAAGCAAACTGCAGCATTCTGCTCAAAGACCACACTCAGTCGGACCATCTGCCTCAAAGAGTCAGAATTTGCCCTGGCAGGACGGCTGGCATTTTAAAACAGCGCAGCTTTTTTCCTGCTAGGACTGAAAACCGAAAAGCATGCGTTCAGCTTTTCATCAACACCGTCTAAGTGTTTCGCGGCAGGACCTCTTAAAGGAGCTACAAACTTTTGCAGCTAAAGCTGAGCCAGGAAGCCTCTCTTAGATGAGAGCATTTGCTTGCCTCTGGCAAGGAGAGCAGATCCGAGAAATTGCTGCTACCAACAAAACATGCTTTACTCTATTCTTTCCCAAACTTTCTCAGGCTTTCTGTGGATTCAGTTATCCACGTGGGCGCCATCTGTAACATGAGGACCGACTTGTTGGGGTTTCTGTTCCCGCCCAGTACCCCACAACCGGTAACTCCCAACGAAAATCACACGCAGGACTCCATAAGATTATAAAGCTGATTGGCCCATTAGGTCAGGCTACTTATTAGTTCTTATGACACATATTACCCCATTATCCTTATCTGTGTTAGCCATATGGCTTGGTACCTTTTTCAGCTGGGCAAGTTACATGCTGCCTCTTCGGTGGTCTGCGCAGGAGTGGAGAGAGAGAGCTTCCTGTGTCCCAGAATACTCCCAGTCTCCTTACTCCACCCCTACTTCCTGTCTGGCTTTCCCGCCTATACTGCCTACCTGGCCAATCAGCGTTTTATTAAAATATGATTGACAGAATACAGATAATTCTCCCACACCATCCAGGTTCTACCTATTATGAATAATGCCGCTACGAGCACAGTTGAGCAAATGTCCTTGTGGTATGAATGTGCATCCTTTGGATTTATGCCCAAGAGTGGTATTGCTGGGTCTTGAGGTAGATTGATTCCCAATTTTCTGAGAAACTGCTATCCTGATTTCCAAAGAGACTGTACAAGTTTGTAGGCCCACCAACAGGGGAGGAGTGTATCCTTTATTCTGCATCCCCTCCACCATAAGCTATCATCTATGTTTTTGGTCTTAGCCATTCTGACTGGTGTAAGATGATATCTCAGAATCATTTTGATTTGTATTTTTCTGATGGCTAAGAATGTTGAACATTTCCTTAAGTGTCTTTCAGCCATTTGAGATCCTTCTGTTGAGAATTCTTTGTTTAGATCTGTATCCCATTTTTTGCTTTGATTATTTGGTATTTGATGTATAGTTTCTTGAGTTCTTTATATATTTTGGAGGTCACTCCTCTGACTGATGTGGGATTGGTTGAAGGCGTAAGTCACAGACAATCCCACACCAGTTTGGAATTATGATTAATAGAATGGTTATTTATTCAAAGGGGAAAAAACTTACAGATTACCGTCCCAGACAACAGCCCCTCCACGCGAACAGGAAAGGAGTCTAGGAGCCGGAAGCGGAGCTGGAAGCCAAAGAGGGAGTGGAGGACAGCCGCTGCTTTTTTTAAAGAGAGAGAGACCACGCCCCAATGGGCTGGTAACTTCAGCCCATTGGCTGAAGGAGCGGAAGGAGCTCCCGCAGCAATTGGTGAAGATCTTTTCCCATTTAGTTGGCTGCTGTTTTATCTTAGTGACCATGTCCTTTGCCTTACAGAAGCTTCTCAGTTTCAGGTCCCATTTGTTTATTGTTGCTCTCAGTGTCTGTGCTACTGGTGTTATATTTAGGAAGTGGTCTCCTGTGCCCATACATTCAAGGCTACTTCCCACTTTCTCTTCTATGAGGTTTAGTGTGGCCCAGAGTTCAATCAAAGAGAGAGAAGAGCAATAATATGAGCAAAGGAGTCAAGACCATGATAGGGACACCCACAGAAACAGCTGACCTGTGCTAGTGGGAGCTTACTGCCCCAGGACTGAACTAGGCCCTCTGAATGTGGATGACAGTTGTGTGGCTAGGGCAGTGTGTAGAGCCACTGGCAGTGGGACCAGAATTTATTCCTAGTGCTTAAACTAGCTTTTTGAAGCCTGTTCTCTTTGGAGGGATACCTTGCTCAGCCTAGATATAGGGGCAAGGGCATTAGTCCTGCCTCAAAGTGATGTGCCAGACTTTGTTGATTCCCCATGGGAAGACTTACCTTCTCTGAGAAATGGATGGGGGTGGGGTAGGTGGGAGGTGGGGCAGAGGGGGAAGAGAAAGGAGAGGGAACTTGGATTGGTATATAAAATGAGACAAAATAGTTTAAATAAATAAATAAATAAGAATTGATCTCTAGGGATAAATACTGATTTCACAGCCAGTAGCCCCTCAAGATACAGGAGAAGTGCCTTGGTCCTGCCTCAAGTGATGTGACAGACTTTGTTGACTCACCATGGAAGGCCTTACCCTCTCTGAGGAATGGATGGGAGTGGAGTGGGGGGGAAGGTTGGAGGGAGTGGAAGGAGGGGGAGGTATCGATATATGAAATTTAAAAAGATCATTTTAAAGAAAAGAAAATAAAGGAAAACAAGAGAAAATGCCCCCACAGACGTGCCCACTAGTCAACCCAATGGAGGCAATTCCTGAATTGAGGTTTCCTCTTCCCAGGTAGGTCAAGTTGACAGCTGAAACTGACTGATACCTTTTGTCCATTACATAATCCTTTCCTTTAAATCCTTGAACGTTCTTATAATAGCATTTCTAATTCTTGTCTCCTGCTTTAAACATCTATGTTATCTTTGAGGGTGCTTCTATGGATGGAGGGGGGTGAGGGTGCCTTGTTTTCCCACCTTATTTTCATTTTGCTGTAACGTTTATAATTTCTTGTTGTTGCTTGAAGGCGCTGCTCTCGAGTGCTCTAGATGACTTTTAGCTTTGTTAGGCTGTGTCTGTAGAAACCCTTAAACAGCTCAGACTTACGGAACAGTCTGTTCTGCTTGCGGGTCTGAATGACAGAGGCATCCTCTAAGAGCCTTATACCCCAGCTGACTGGAGCTTTGGAGAGCTACAGCATCATCCACCAGGCCTCTGAAACTTCACGGCCCTCACATGATGCTTCACAACCAGCCTGAGAGAGTCCCACACTGGTAATGTGCGGCAGAGCTGTAGGTTGAAGCTGCTAGGGGGTTAGAAGGGCTTCCTGAGCCACATTTGTGTATAACTGGAATCTTGTCCAATACGCTCCAAATGCCCTAGAAGTCACAACCTCAATTTCGGTTCTTCAGCCAGATGTGAAGGTTCTCCTGCTTGTGCTTCTGGTTAGCAGCAGTTTAAGGTCCCTGGGTAGTGGGGGAGGAGGGGTTAATGTGGTGACTCCATCCATCCATCCATCCATCCATCCATCCATCCATCCATCCACCTACCCATCACCTATCTATCCAGTTTCAGAAGTGTGGCATCAATTACCCTCTCCTAGCTATAGCTGAACTGCCTTCCTTGGGTTTTGCATTTCAATACCTATCTGATTGTTCTATGGTTATCTGTATGTTTCTCTTTCCCACAGAAGTGAAGTGACTGAGTCTAGTGATCTGTGAGTCTTCAGTCCGTTTGCTGCCCTCATGAGAGAAGAACCCTTGTCCCACAGGTAAATAGGATACTTAAAAAGAGCGTGGGGTTCTGATGTGCATATGCCATGCTCTGTAATGAAAGACCACAATAAAAAAAATGAAATTAAAGAATAGGATGTGAGCCTGTTCATAATCTCAAGAAGCAAGTAGGAAACTGAGGATTGGAGATAACTATATATAGACTATTATCTGCTGGGCCACAAGGACCAGAGTTAGAAATTACAGTGGTTAGAATGCAAATAGCCCCCATAGTCTCGTGTATTTGAAGGTTTGATTCCAAGTTGGCGTACTGTTTCAGAAGGATTGGAGGTATGGCCTTGTGGGAGAAGCTGTGGCCTTCTTGGGGGAGATATGTCACTGGGAGTGGACTTTGAGGTTTCAAAAGCCCATGCCAGATAAAGTCTTACTCTTTCTCTTTGCCTCCTGCCTTCAGTTCAGGATATAAGCTCTCAGCTACTCCTCCAATGTCATACCTGAGGGCTGCTTCACCCACTGCCACTGACCCTCTAGAAGTGGAAGTAAACCCCCAATTAAATGCTTTCTTTTGTAAGTTGCCTTGGCCATGGTGTCCTTTTACAGTAATAGAAAAGTAAATAAGACAGAGATCTCTGCAAGAATGTTCAGAGACACTTTTAGCAGAGTACTAAAGACTGTTAATAATACACCCTCTGATGCTATCATTTAAATAAGATGCAAACAGGATGCCATGGAAGAGGGAACTTGAAGGGCACCCCTTCAAAAAATGTGTAAGAATAAGGGTATGTAACCCAGAAGGATGAACCTTTCTCTTTCCACTTCACAGAACCTTGCCAAAGGTTTGAAGCTTGCTCCGGGAATCTCAGTAAAGGATAAGTCCGTCCTAGGTGATTCCCAATGGTGCTGGGGCTCTGTGCTGCCATCCCTTTGGGGTACAGGTCTCTATTCTCATCACTTGAGAATTCAAATTGTGTTCCCACACAGTTGGTTAACCTGGCTTCCATGGCACGATAAAGGTTATAAATTAGTCATGTGATTGAGGAAGTCCTGGAAGGACAGCCCAGCCCTTCTTCATGCTGGTTGGCTGCAGCCATAGCAACTGCTTGTTCTAGACCAAAGTTCAGTGTCTGCACATCTTTATGGTCTTGTTCATAGTTCAATGTCCAGGAGCATAAAACTTCCCATGAAGACACAGCTTTCACACTCACAACCGAATACTAGACTTCCTTCCTAAACCCTGGACTCCAAATGATAAGACCTCCAAATATTCTAAGTTGGTTGTTATTCTATCACAGGGAGCTTTTTTCCTGAGAAAATGCCGACTACACAGAAGACGTTGATGTTCCTATCTGGCTTTCTCACAAGCCTTGGCTCTGTTGTTGTCATCTGCTCGATTCTGGGGACGAAAGCATGGGTCACCAGCACTATTTTCTTCACAGATCCTATTTCCAATGGTACCATTGTCATCACCTACGGCCTTTTCCGTGGTATGAGTTCTCAAGTTTTGAGTGAAGGCCTTCAAGAGCTGGACAAAAACTTTGAAGGTAAGTGATTATCTAATTTGAATGGGGATAGCAAGAATGGCTAAGACTCCTATAATTTTGTATTTTGGCCAAATAGCCATTTGAAAGTAATCTCTGTGAATTCCAAGTTAGGCTATCAAGTTAGGATTAACTCATAATTTAAAATTTAAAAAAATGAAAAGGTGTTTATGATTATTTTAGACTCCTTCGCTCTGGTTATCTTGTTATTGTCAGAGTCTGAACCATTTTAGCAGTGGCTGGGTTTGAATGGTACCTATCTAGTTTACTGACAAATAAATAATTAAGTTGAAGTATGTGGCAGTTTTATAGTGTTTAATAGCCAGCAGAAGCAGTATCTCAAAGGATGTTGACCATGGGTTTTGACACAGGACATCCAGCTCCATCCAGAAGTTCATAAGCCCTGACACAGGGAAAGTCTAAAGCAACAAACATCAACACCCAGTCCATATTTCCCAGCTTCTTGAACTTACTCTTTTGAGTTCAAAATATCTCATTGCTAGAAATGACATTTAATTTCTAATTAATCCTATCACTTACAGGAAGTCCTAGTTGCTCCTCATTTCTGATATAATAATGTCTTTTTTTCTATATATACAAAATAAGAAACTGTTGAGGATAGGCAAATGTAGCTACTTGAGTTTTATAGTTTGAGATCTGGCATTATGGCTCTTGACATGTGGAAGTCACATTTGTACATTGTACAGCATATAAGTGGGCGGTGTGTTTTTTGCGGTGATGCACACAGGGTCTGAACAACTGGTTAGGGATATTTAAGCTTCTAAGAATGCACTGTCTACCATCATATGCCAGTGTAATATTTGGTGCCCGAACTCTAGAATGGAGTTCTAGTAGGTTTATGATTTTGTTAATGAAATGGTTTCCATAAATCAAGGGCAATGTGTTTCTAACTACCAAAGCGTCTTTGAGTGGTAGGAAACCACATCTTCCCTGAGGTTTCAGCTGCTTCTCCCCTCGCCTGGTGCTGGCCGCAGCCTCTCAGGAGGTGAAGAGACCTGCTCTACAGCAACCAGAAGCTAAGATTTCAAAGGCTCCTTTAATGATACCATTTTAAAAACCAAAAGTCGGCTTGTTCGTGAGTCCCCTGGCAGATTTATATGCTTTAAGTTGGAGACAGAAGACTACAGTGTTGACTGGGGATCAGCTGATTCCATCTAGAGATTGATGGCCTCAGTGGAAGCCCTGAGTCTCTAGCCAGGGAGGCCCAGAGAAGGATAGGAAAGGTCAGGCCTGGCAAGTCAGCCCTACGTGACTGAGAGTGAGCATGCTGGTGTCTGGAGAGCGAGGGCAGCCTCAGTCGGGATGGGGGCAGAAGTTGGGGTTAGTGATATTAAGATCCTTCCACTTAGTGTATCAACAGAGTCAGAATGCTTGTGTTGCCAGTGCCTGGGTCTCTCTGGTTTTATCCTTTAGTACTGGAAAGCCACTGTAGCCACCCCTCACACTTAGAGTCCAGCCTCCCATTGCTCCAGAGGGTCAACAACCACCCCATGGAGGAAGATGCTACACAATTGCTGGTAGGCATCTAGGGGTCACTCAGGGACTGTGGGATTTTCCATACATGTGACTGTGGTAAGCACTGAACATATAAACAGTTCTCCCAGACAGGAAGTCATTCTTAAAACATGTATGTAGGCAATGTTAAAGATCTTCTGTTGCTAACCCTGTCAGCAGAATTCAGGATTTACAGTGGGACACTCTGCTCTCCCGCAAGTAAGTCAGGGCTGCCATGTACATCATTAGTCAATCATTGGTGGCAAAGTTAAATCTGCATAAAATTAAACATGCAGTGTCCTATTCAGCACTGACAAATGGGTGTGTCCCCTTGAAAAGTCAGTGTTTTAACTTTGTGACTAAGGCTAGGACATACTGAAATCCTCAGACAGTGAAGCATATCACCAGGCCCTGCTACACTTCTGCATTGGGGTGGTTTTAACATATTGTGTCTATTTGGATTACAGAGTTGGCAGTGAAAGAACAGAATGGGCAATAGTGTTTGTTTTAAAGTGTCAAATCCATCCAGGCTACAATGGGTCAATGAATGGAGATGATGCCTAGTCAGTTCCAGTCAGGAACCCTTCTGTTGTGGAACTGGCCTGGCAGTGAGCTCAGGCTGGCTAGTTGGGTCCTGGTTTGTCTAATGTCCAGATAAGAGATTGGTTAGCTCTGTCTAGCCATGAGTAGATGGTCTTTGCTATTCCTAAAGATCCAGCTGTATAATTTCAGCTCAAAATATCCACTGTGTGAGTGAAGGTCTTAGACTTAAGAGCTGATAGGGTTTGTACACAGCTCCTGTAGTGAAATGCTTCCTGTCTAGGGCAAGGGAAGCTCCTCCTCCTCTGCAGTGCAACACCCTGCACTCATGTAAGTCTCCACAACAGCGGGAGGTGGGGTGGGGAACACAGTCCTATGGACTCCTAGAAGGACCTGTGCTCACGCTCACGAGGGTGTGCCCCTTGCCTTCCCTGGTTTGGCTCTTGGGTGCTTTAACAGGATCCCTAATGAAATTAACTCCTTGCCTCTGAGAATGCTATAGGGTCTAAGGGGCATGATGTGTACTATTTCCCCAGGATGGCAGGAATGGGGCAATGTGGCACTTGAATGTGGCACCCCTCAGCAGGTGATCTCCAGTCTATATCCTGATCAGACCAAGCATCTTTACATAGTCACTTTGAAATTTCAGTGAATGTTATTTCTCTTCCCATGGCCTAGGTCCCTTTGATCTTGGTCCCAAGAGCATCTTTGTCAGTAGACACGTGACACTCCAACAGCCAAGTTACCATGGCACTGACTCTGGCCCGGAGATGCAATCTCCTGGATGCTGCCAGGACCCTCTATATTTGGCCTCCCATGCCAATGAGAAGAATTTCAGATTCAGGTCCCACCCCTCTTGTTTAGATGTGCTATTTTCCATATAACTATGACAAAACACCTGAGAAAAGCAACTTAAGGGAAGCATAATTTATTTTTGGTTCATGGTCTCAGGGGGATTCCGGCTCATTATGGTGAGAAAGGCATGGCGGAGTAGGTTCAGCTGTGGTGGTGGAGTGTCAGGGAGTTTCCTCACATAGGGTGGACCAGAAAGCCCAAGCCAGCATCAAAGTGGGTCCAACCTTCAAAAGGCTTGCCCCTGGTAATATACTTCTCATAGCCAGAATGTGTCTCTGGCAACGAGAAGTTTCCACAGCCCTTAAAACTGTGCCACAGACTGGAGTCTGAACCTTGAAACCTTGAACCTGTGGGGGACATTTTAGTCAATTCCTAACATCAGGTGTGTTGGTCAACATTGATTACCAACCTGATGGGAAGGAGTGTTACCTAGGAGACAACCCTCGGGCGTTTCTGAGAGGGAGTTTCTATATTGGGTTGAGGTGAGACGATCCACCCTAAATGTGGGTGGTATCATCTCATGGATGGAGGCTTCAGATTGCAGAAAATGGAAAAGGTGAATGCATCATCAGCATCCACATTTCTCTCTCTCTCTCTCTCTCTCTCTCTCTCTCTCTCTCTCTCACTCCTTCCCTCCCTACCCTTTTCTCCCTCCCTCCCTTCCTCCCCCCCCCCCCCCCTCTCTCTCTCTCTCTCTCTCTCTCTCTCTCTCTCTCTCTCTCTCTCTTTCTGCTTCCTGACTGCATATGCAATGTGTCTAGTTGTCTCAAACTCCTGCCGCCATGTTTGCTCCACCATAATGGACTGTACTCTCAAACTGTGAACCTTCTGCCCTTTAATTGCTTTCATTAAGCGCTTGATTGTAACAATGGAAAAAGTGATTAGTACACTGGATGGTTTTAAGACAAACAGACAGTAATTCTGACTCAGGGTTGATGGTCACCAACTTTGCCTTGGTCAGTTACTAGGCTGACAAAAGCTTTGGGCATTACTTTTATGTCCCTTGGCAGTGGGTTGCTTGAAGTTGATTTTGTGTGTGTGTGTGTTTGATAGCTCAGGACACAACCTTACAGATGAACACAGGCAGGCTGAGGGTAAGTGTCAGGCTCAATGGTCTCCGAGTGCTGAACTTAGGCCAAGGATCAACTGTCACCAGTGGGCTGTCACGATCCGGCTTTTCCTGTCCCCAGTCTTCACTGGCTCTTATTTCTTTTCTGTGATCTCAACATTGCAGTATTAAACAGAGTTGAATTAAGAAGCTAAATACAGAGTAAAGAGCAAATGAAGTTGATTTCTTGAGACTATGCGAAGACTCCCTACTCCCTATTTCATCTCATGACTTCATACATGACTTCATCTCATGTATCAGAATGTGTTTTCTGGAGAAGGGCTGTTTATCCTTTTTCCTTCTGATAGAGGTGACCACATTGGAAGAAGGAGATGGAGAAAATGGGCCAAACCAGAAGGCTTAGTCAGTTTTCTCCCAAGACAACCTTAGCAGCTGTCCTAGAGGTTGAGGCACTAACTGTGACTTCCTGGGAGGCCCAGGTCTAAGATCATTCAGTCCCTGTGATGTGCACTAATGTCAGCACCATACTGGGTCAGGTCCCTGGTGGCCAGGTGTCTGAGGAAGTGGAGTCAGTCCTAGTTACTTGTGTTTCTATGACAAAATATCTGGCAAAGGCCATTAAGGAAGGAAGGGTGTGTTCCGGCTCACAGTTGGAAAGCACAGTCCGTCATGGTAGAAGAGTCACCATGGGAGGAGCATATGGTTACTGGTCACACGGCGTATGGCATCCATAGGTAGAAAACAGAAGGGGGGAGGGAAGGAGGGAGAAGGGAGGTGAATCCTGGTGCTCACCTTTAAGGTGGATCCTCCCACTTCTCTTAACCCGGTCTAGAAACTTCCTCACAATCATGCCAAGAGGTTTACTTCCCTGAGAATTCTAGCTCCTATAAGTTGACAGTATCCACCATCATACTCAGTGTCTATGAACCACAGAAAACAAGACCTGGAGGTGGAGAGCAGACGGCAAGTGGGTCCCGAATGAATGAACCTTCTTTGGGGATCTGGGTGTCTGAATGCCCGGCTGAAATATCTGCTGTCATCTCTGTGGCTGCCTGTTCTTGACCTCTCTCTGAGGCCACCAGAATCAGGGCAATTAGCTCCGATTGTGATGGGACTCCTGAATCGGAAGCTTGTCCCATGAAAGAAAGAAAAAGAAAAAGAACTCCATGCCTCTGCTAATTTTCCGGGGAGGGAGCAGCTGTCAGATGCTGGGAAGGGATATTGTTATTGCACTCTGGCTAACTCTCACCAAACTTTCAGCTTAGCATTGTCTGAGTTCTGAGGCTGGAGCTGGGAAGGCAGAGCTGTCAGAGGTGGCAGGGAATTCAGAAATAAGTTTTACAATGCAGCAGTTCAAATTAGGATGAATTGCCCCCCGAGTACGTAGGAAAGTATGAGTCAGCAGCCCCAAATTAGCTCTCTTTGGAAAATCACGTCTGTTAAATCTTATTGAAAGTCAAGGTAGAGCTAAATTTGATTGTCATTTTCTTTTTCTTTTGGGGCATGCATGTCACGTGCAAGTGCTTGTGCATGAGTGTGCACACATACACGGAAGCCGGGGGTCAGCACCCTGTGTTTCCCAATTATGTCCCATCTTGCTTTTTCTTTTTAATTTTATGTGTATGTATGTATGCTTGAGCAAGTGTGTGTCCATCATGTGGATGTAGCAACTCACGGAGACTAGAAGAAGCTATTGACTCCCCTGTAATGAGAACCTCCATGTAGGTGCTGGAAATGGAAGCTGGGTTCTCTACAAGAAGAACAGTAAGCATCTTTAACTGCTGAGCCATCTCCTCAACCCCCTCCACCCTACATTCTGAGACAAGGTCTCAACGGGAACCTGAAGCTCACTAATTGATTCTGCTGGACTGACGGGCAAGCAAGGCAGTTTCCCTAGGGCTGGGATTACAGGCACTGTGCCTGGCTTCTTTTTTAAATATGGGCTCTGGGAGGGTTGAACTCAGGCCCTGATGCCTTCAGGGCAAGCATTTCACCCACTCAGTCATGTCTGCAGCCCTGCACAGTTGCTTTTTAATGGAATATTCCAATTGTAAGTGAACATTCATTTAGAACTGGAAGTCAGTGTGTGAGACAGAGAGTCTCTCAGAGAAATCCAGGTGTTCGGGACACCAGGCGTGTTCCTTACACTCAAGTTTCTGCTCTTGGCTTAAATATTCCAGTTATTTCCTTGACTACAGGATGACCAAGGAGAGAGAGAGAGCTCTTTTGTTTCCAGCCAACTTCCCTTGAGAGTGAAGGTTTCCTCCTGACCTGGCTGCTGGGGAACAGGAAGTGGATCCACCTTGAGGTGATGAATAGCTAACACATCCACAGGGACCAGTCTGGACCTCCGGCTGGGTGTGTCTCCCTAGCTCAGTTGCTTTTTCCTATTCTCCTTGTGACGTCACCTCCCTCCAGTTTCAAAATCAGCACATACTGAGTTAGTACAAGCAAAGCCTCCTAAATATGCCATTTACATTAAGAGTGTGGAGGAGCCGGAGAGAGATCCTACTTGGTTAAGTCAGGGACTAGTGAAGCCACAGTCCGGGTGGTCTTCGGGAGCCTCACTTAGGTTACAAGGCAGAGAACATGGGATAGGGGATCAATATCCCAAAGGGGACACTGACAGAAGTCACGGGAAAGCCCAGTCACCATAACAACAAGGAGGCGTTACCTCTAGAAGCTGAGCTTTGCCCCTGTGCATCTGAGGAGAGAAATGCTCTTCAGTGGGGGTGGGAGGTCATGGTTCGCTCACTGCTGAGCTGGTGTTTTGCTTTTTGTGCAGGCTCTGTGCTCCTGGGGTTACAAGGGATGCTTGTCAATGTTTAGCACATGCTGTAGCCAAGTTCCCGTCCCTCCTGCCCCTCTTTCCTGCACATCCCTTTGCTCTTTAAGGCAGTGCCCCTTGCTATGCAGCAGTATCCATAGCTGCTGCCCTCAGGCCACTCCCTTCCAGGAGATGCCTGATCTGGGCTCAGTCACACACTACTCAGGATGCCTTCTCTCTTCATGAAGGACTTTTGCTACCTCCCAATTTTTTGATCGCGCCTCCTTTGTCTAGTAGGAGGATGTGGCAGATTTAGAAAAACAAATATAAAGACTTAAAATTTAAGATGTTTTCACCCAAACTAGGCTGAGCACATACCCTTACACAAGGTAAATGTCAGATCCTGGGGCCCTTTTGTCCGTTCAGATCATTCAGAAACACAGTTCAGTAAAGACCACTTCTTTTCATTAAAAAAAAAAAAAGGAATTACTTATTTTAGTTTGTGTTTTGCCTGCATGTATGTGTGTGGACCATGTGCTCATGGAAGTCAGAATAAGGCTTCTTCTGGAAGCTGGATGTTGATTCCTCTGGAACTAGAGTTTACAGAGAGTTGTGAGCCACCATGTGGGTTGGTAGGGATCGAACTTATGTTCTCTGCAACAGCAGCTAGTGTTCTTAACCATTGAACCATCCCTCTAGGTCCCCATTTCTTACCCAAGTCTCTCAGTCACACAGGGGCTCTTGTTTTCCTTACTAGTCAGAAAGGAGACACCCGTGCCTGGTGTGCAGTTTCACAGCGAGCATCCGGAACGGGGGTGAAATCAAGGGCATGTACAGTAGGACTTGGCACACGGAGAACTTCTCAATAGTTCTCTTGGTACAGGGACAGAGAGGAGAACCTTGCAAAGAGAGGGTGATGGTGGCAAATGGTAGGATATGGTTCGGAAGATGTTTTGCTGTTCCTCCTGTCCCACGGGAGCCAGCCCTGGAAGCTAAGAATCCGGGTCTGCCTGGCTACTTCCTGTTCCTTAAAGCTGTGCTGTGCTAAGGATGTGAACGTCTCCACATCCGTGAAAACCAGTGAAACAGGAAGAGAGAGAAGGAGACTTTGACTAGTTCTTACTCACCCCTCTGTGGCCACGATGGCTTGAGTTCCCAGTGATGTTTGTTAGTGCAGTTTTGTTAGTATGTTATAGCACACAGCTATAGCATGCGCTAAACATTGACTCTTTCCCTGGTGGTCTTTTCCTTGGGGCTTCACAGACGGTCTCTCACAGTTTCGTGTGAGATCCTGACATATACTGACAGCCATTAGAGCTGCTCTGTGCACCTAGGAAGAGCACACCTGTCACATCTGGTCTGATGTGTGGGAGTAGAGCAGGAGGTGGGGGAGCTCGGTGCCGCCCTGGAAATCGGCTGGTAGAGCTTGGAAGCCCCAAGGTTCTGACGACTCTGCCCAGTGCACCTGCGCTGTGTTTTCCATGAGTGGAGATCCATTATGCAGCTTCTTTGCATTTAAGATACAGGCGGGTGCTCTTTTGTAAAGCGCTTTAAGCTTAGAAGGAAGTTCTGAGGGTGAACCAGAGGGTTGTGTTCCCAGCCGCCTCCAGTGTTGGAGTCTGGGACGTGGAGTCTGGACTCGGGGTAAGCACCGTGATTTGGTCTAGCAAGAAATGTTTTCCTATAGCCACTGCTAGCTATGAGCTGGCCTCTCTCTGGTCATTTCTGCCAGGCCTTATTCTCCAACTTTTTTCTCTGTCATCTGCTCCTGACTCACTGAATTCTTCTAAGCCATGGGGTTTATGGGATTCTCCCTGCACATGGGTTTGCACAGTGACCCACCCTAAACATTTCTGTCAGAAGCAACTAATTCTAAGACCCAAAGGGAAGCTATGGCAATGGAATTGCCATCTATCCTACTAGCAAGGCTCGGAGGTCAGAGATCACTGGCAAGAAAGTTGCGGGTATGAGGGACCACCCTCTGCTAAAACTTGAAAACTCAGTTAGACATCCAGCCACCTTTAGAGCAGTGCTTATGCAATCAAGTAAGATCACTGACTGGTTGGCCATGAAGGATGTGGTCTCATTCTCATGCGTTTGTGTATGTTCCTGTATGTACATGTGCACTCAGTGTGTCTATGCAGGTACACGTGCATATGTATACGTGTGCAAGTGGAGGTAAAAAGTCAACTACCGATGTCATTCTTCAGGTGATGCCCATCTTGGTTTTTGAGATAGGGTCTCTGGTTGAACCCTGTAGGTCACCAGTTCAAGTAGACAGTCATGTGAGCCCCGGGATTCAACCGTCTCAGCCATCTGCCCAATACTGAGGTTGCAAGCACTCACCATCACCCCTGGCTCTTTTAGGTGGGTTCTGGGGATTGAACCTCTACAGCACATTACTGACTGAGCCATCTCCTGGTCCATGCAGTCTCGTTCTTACAGGATGAACGATATACTGCTTCCTTCTCTGACACCACGGCTTCTCTAGCTTGACTGTACTGAGGATTTGCATTCTGCACTGTGCATTCACCAAATGTTGCTTTAGTTTTAGGGATATTGGGTGATTCCTCCCAGAAGACTCTGCATTTGGTGGCCATCCTATTCCTGGTCCTGAGTCTGGGAACTTCCGTACTGAGCTCAATATTCACCTTCTACAACAGCGTCAGCAACCCTTACCAGACGTTCCTGGGTCCTGTGGGCGTCTACACCTGGAACGGACTCAGTGGTGAGTTTCCTGAGAAGACTCACATGCATATACATGTACACACATATACATGCACACACAGGTGTATACTTATGCATACCAATGCAGGCTCATGAACACACGTTGCTCTCCTTCTTACCTTCACAAGGGGCAAATGTGGACTCCAGAGATGCCTCACCTGGATGACTAAGCCATAGAGCAAGGGAGGATACCATCTGGGGCCAATACTCTTCTTGTGGGCTAGGATGCTGTGTGGTTGCTAGGTGATTTTGTTATTTTGTGGGTGGTACCTGGGTGGAGGATGAAGTCCAGATGGGAAGTGGATCCTGCTGTGACTCAGTCAAAAGACTCCCCATGGGTTTTGCCCATGCACTTCAACCCCCACAACTGTAGTGGAACTCAGAACCAGAGGTTAAGGGACTTGGTTACAAATCTAGATATAGGTCCCTATCAGCGAGTGCTCTTCCATCAGTCACCAGACCTCACTCACTGCCAGGATAAACAATGAATTGCTCTTAGTTTTGTTCATGCAGCTTAGATCCAACAGAAGCAGAGGCCTCAGACACGGCTGGATTTCGAGATCATGTCGGGGAAAGTCTGTTTCTCTTCAACACTGTGTACGCTGATTTCCCAGGGTGTGCTCTGTAGCTACATAGTTGATTCAGTCCTCTTAAAGGTCATTTGTCTGTACCCACCCCGGACTCTGCCAGCAGCAGCTCTGGGCCCAGTTCTCCTGGATTCACACATTGACATGGCCTCGTCTATGTCTGAAGCCAGGAAAGATAATCTGACCCATCAAGTTGGATAAGAAGACTCAACCATACTGGAACAGGGGTCCAGGGTCAGCTGTTCTCCAGCCTCAGAGGCACATGGAGGACGAGTGGGTCACCAAAGGAGAAGGGGGGATAACAAGAGGCTAGGGTGGGTGTGCACTGCCCTGTCTGCAGCCCACAGGGCTTCCAGCTGGCCCCTCAAGGCTGTAGCCTCGTCTCTTTTCCTCTGCAACGGAGAACAGGCTGACTGTACTCAGAGGCCTCGCCCATGTCTGCGAAGGAAAACAAGAAAAGGCGTCTGGAAAGTCACCCCTCAGCCTGCCCATGTCTAGCCACAAAGACCTAGGTTGTGGGGAGAGAGTTCCCCTCACAGTCCTTCTGCCTCAGGGGTACATTCTGACACAGAGGGAAAGGCTGTGAGGTCGGCAGAAAAACCACCCGTAAGGGGTGTGTAAGGGCCAGGTTTGTATTCTGACCTGGGTCTGGAGGAGACCTTTGGCCATTGGGCAAACACAGGAGCTGGAGGTGGTCTTTGGTCTTTTGTGTCCCGATGCTCAGTAAGACAGATTCTGTCCTCATATACCCTCAGACAGCTTTTGATTTTCTTCCCTTATCTGGAGTGTTACAGAGTTTAGTGAAAAACTGGTTTGCAAGAGGCTAATCCTACAGAAGCGCTTCTGTTTAGCACTGACAATGTACCTTCCTGGCTTTGGGAAGCTGTGAGGGAGGGCTGGTGTCAGACTGACTTTAGGGCCCTGGGACCAATGAAAATGCTACAATTCCCTATGGATGTAGGCTTGCCCATGCTCTCCTGGACTGCAGGTGGTGAGCAGGCCCAGTCGGCAGAAGAGGAAGTGGATTATCTGGTTGGTTTCTGATGGGAAGAAACAGCCATAACACTGCCTGAAGCTTGTGACCCCTGACCTCAGCCCACACTGATCCCAGTATGGCTGGGGTTGCCCACAGGGGATTTTAAGGTGGGTGGAGAGAAGGTTGGATCCAGAGAGGCATCATAAACTGTCTGCTACAGACATATTGTCCCTCAACTGGAGAACACAGGAAGCAATGAGTAGGTGTCATAGCCCAGCAGGGATGGGCCCTAGAGGAAGCTCATGTCCCCAAGCCTTTCAGAACAGCTCACCACTGCTTCCCCAGCCTCCTGTAGCCCTTCAGTCTACAGCTCTGGAGAAGCTGTGAGACTAGCCAGGCCTAGATGCAGCCTTTATTCCTGGCTACACAGGAGGCTGAGACAAGAAGACCTCAAGTTCAAGACCCGTCTGGCTGTACAATATAAAGAATGAAAAGAGGGCAGGGGTATGGTTCAGTGATAGAGCATTTGCTTACTGTTTTCAAACTTCTAGATTTGATCTCCAGTATTTCAGGAAGGAAGGGAAAGAGAAAGGAAGGAAGGAAGGAAGGAAGGAAGGAAGGAAGGAAGGAAGGAAGGAAAACAATTAACCAGAAGCAGTGTGGAGCCCCTGGCTCCAGGCATCTGCCTCGAAGGGGCCCAGATAGGCAAGCCCTTCCCTGTGCAAATCAAAGCTCCAGACAGTCCACTTTAGGGTAAAGGCATTAACCTTGTGCCCATTCCACTCCTTTATGATTAATTAAGCTTTTATAAGAAACTTCACAAGAGGAAAATGAAGGATAATGAAGGGGTGAGAGGCGCCCAGTGAGCATCAGAGGAACGAGACTTTTGTTCATGCAAATAATTAAGAAATAAAGCCATTATTTTGTGGGTGAGGTGTGTCATCAAGGGCTGCTCAGACATTCTCCTCATGCAAACCCCCCTAATTAGCTTCTCTCAGAGGACCGTTTGGGGAGCTTCCCTGCCAGTGGGGTGGGACCCAACCAATGCCCGAGACTTCAGAGCTGCGCACATTCTGTGTATGTCAGCAGGCGAAGGATGCCAGACAGACTTCATCCCGGGGATTCCCCTGATGTGTCAGAACCCCACCTGGGCATGAACATCCATCCTCACCCTCATCTTCCTCCCAAAGTTTTTTGTTTTATTTTTTATTTCAGTGTGCCTGGCATATGAATACCTGTCACTTGCATTCCCCACTTAAAGCACACTGTTCGTTGGGTTTCGGCGCGTTCTTAGCCACTGCAGGCATCACCATCATCCTGTCCCACATATTTTCACCATGTCAAAGAGAGACCTCATGACTCCTGGATACTACCTGCCTCTCGCCCACCTACGCAACTGTACGCTTCCTTTGCTGAAGATACTTCCTGGTTCAAGGCTACACTTGCCTGGGTCCTGCAGAGTAGACTATCTGCAGCGGCCATCTAGCCCTTGAAGCACATGTCCAGCCCTTGAGAGCCTGTGGCTCTCTTGCTCCTGGTGGGACTCACCCCTCACAGTTGGAGATGACCCCCTGCCCACCCCCGCTCTTCCACCTGTGATGCTGGTGTCTTCCCACGTCTTGCTTGTCCATATGCTCACCATAATCACTCTCCAGTCCCTGTTCACTCACCCCCACCTCTACATCCGTCGCCAGGGGGCACAGGCTGTGTGTCACCCAGAGACAGCTTCTGAGGGGATCTGAGCCTGCAGGTTAGATACTGTCCTAAAGGATATTTAGAATGTCATGCCTAGAATCTAGTTTGTTTCTTACGTCTTATTTTTACAGTCTTCTTCGTCTTGAAACACTATAGAATCCCATATAGCTACTCAATAAATGCCTATGGATCATGTATCCCGTAAAGAAAATAAGGGATATTTAAAAAAATGCAGAGGGGTTGGCACACAGCTGTAGAGATGACTCAGCAGTTAAGAGTGACTGCTGCCCAATCCCTACCCACAAGGACCTGAGTTGGAATCTGACCCTCTCCCCATGGGTGATTCACAAACACCTATAACACCTGCTCCGAGGGATCCGATGCCCTATTCTGGTCCCTGTGGGTGACTACCTACACATATGAGTTGGAATCTGCTCCCCCCTCCCCATGGGTGACTCACAAACACCTGTAACACCTGCTCCAAGGGGTCTGGTACCCTATTCTGGTCCCTGTGGGTGACTACCTACGCTCACACAGACACATGCTCATATATATATATATATATATATATATATATATATATATTTAAATAGTTAAAGTAACTTTAAAACATGTATTACAAGGACAGGTGGATGGCTCAATGAGTAAAGTGATTGCTGCAAAGAAACAAGGAGCTGAGTTCAGATCCCAAGCAACCAAGAAAACAGTCAGGCAGAGCGGTGCATATCAGTAACCATGTATCTGGGTGGGCAGGGACAGGGGGAGAAAAGAGGGATCTCGGAGGCTTGCTGCTGAAACAGGCAATTCCGGGTTCAGTGGGAGTCTCTGCCCTCTCTGCAAAAATAAATAGACAAATAAAAGTAGACAGTGGTAGAAAAAAAAAAAACACCTGGTGTTGTCCTTTGTCCTACACGTATGTGCATATACATGTATGCACATTCAGACACATACCACAGAAAGGCACATACATGCATACACACATGTACGGGCAAACATAATGTTAAGAGTGCCTCACTGTGTCATTTATGAAGCTCCATCTTCTTTTCAGCACCCTTTGTGTTCCTGACCATGGTACTGTTCGTGGGGAATACAGAGTCCAACCATCTCTCAGAAGAGCTGTCCCATAAACTTTATACAGAGATCACCATCAAGACAACAACCCACTCTTACGGATACTCATTTTGGCTCATTCTGCTTGTCATCCTTCTGAATATTGCCACTGTGGTCATCATCATTTTCTACCAGAAGGCCCGATACCAGCAGAAGCAGGAGCAGAGGAAGCCGGTGGAATATGCTCCCAGGGACGGCATTTTATTCTGAGTCCTGTGTCACATTATGCTTGCACTGTCTCTGCCAGTAGTAACTGGCTGGCTCCTGTGGACAATCTGCATGGCAGTCTGGTGCGATACCTCTGTAACCATGACACCATGTCTTTCCTAGATGATGCTTGCACGTTTCCCCACGGATATCCACTGGAAAGAGTTTTCTCATGAGGGCAGGGAAGTGAGTGGGGAAGACTGTGGTTTACAGGGCTCCAAGAGGGGGTGGTCTGGGGCCTGCAGGCTCTTCCCTCCTGGACTGCTATCCACAGTAATAAAAGTCTGAATTTTTTGCCTTCCCCATGACCAACTTAAAGGACTGCAGCCCCCATGATTTTGGCCTTAGGAAGGATCAGGCATTTCACTCTTCTATAGGAACAAAGGCATTCTGAACCTGTTTTTCCTGAGTCAAGAGTTGGAAACGAAAGGATAAAGGATGAAACGACCTTGTGCAGGCTTAGTTCCTGTAATGAGGGTCTGGCACATGTAGAATTCAGGCCTTAGGAAACCCTACATGAGCAGGTTAGAGGTGAAATATAGTCCCTGTGGTCAGTTTTTCCAGCAGACAGACAAGCAGCAAAATGGGAAAGGCACAAAAATGTAATCTGCATGTGTTTCCAGTAAGCTCTTTCCTTTGGCAAGCTCATTGAGAACCTTCCAGCCTCGACTATTCCACAAGTCGCCAGATAGGACTGCAAAGTGGCCCCTTTCATGTGTTGATGGCTTTGTGAAGCAGTGGTTCTGTGACAAGGACTGGATTTTATGAAGTCCTCAAGGGTACATGGCCTTCAACACTCAGACTTAGAGATGTGAGCTGGGTTCCCACAATGGGGCAGCACCACGCTGCGTCTTCACCTTCGTGGAGTGTACTGCCAGGCAGTAGTCGAGTCCTACAATTAATGAACACTTACTTGACTCTGATTAAAACAGTTGCTTAGGGTGGGGGATCTTCCCCCCATTGTAGAGCACCAAAGTGCCTACCATGTTCAAGGCTCTAGGTTCCATTTCTTGTTCTGTAAAAAATGAAACAAACATAGAGTTACAAAAGTGTGCTTTGTGTTTTGAAGGGACAATCTCAATCACACTCCATCTTGAAGGCCTGCTAACTCAAGACTACTCTTATCTATTAAATTATTAAAAGTTTAGTATACTTTATTTCCTTCATGTGTGCACATGTGCAGAAGCCATGATGTGTGTGTCTGTGTGTCTCCTTATGTGTGGAGATCAGATGACAAGTTTCAGGAGTTGATTCTCTCCTTCTACCATGTGAGACTCGGGTCATCAGTCTTGGTAGCAAGCACATTTACCTATTTAGCTGTCTTGTGGAATTGCTATTAAATTATTACACAATTTGGATTTGGGCAACAAGGACTTGGTGAGTAAAAGTGCTTGCCACCAAGCCTGATGACCCTAGAGCATTCTAAATGACCCACAAAGTGGAAAGAAAGAACTGACTTCTTCAAGTTGTCTTCTGACCTCCATTCATGAATTGTGGTATGTGCATGCTCTTAGCCATAACCATACTTCCCTATGCAATACCAAAATAAATAAATGAATATAGAACAAAATAAAATGCATAATGACTCATCATTGCTCATCTAAAAATTTTATATATTATATGTGTGTGTCTCTCTCTGTGTGTGTGTGTGTGTGTGTGTGTGTGTGTGTATCTTTGGTTTTCAAGGCAGGGTTTCTCTGTATATCCCTGACTACCCTGACTATTCTAGAACTTGCTCGGTAGGCCAGGCTGGGCCTCAAATTCACAGAAATACACCTGCCTCTGCCTCCTGACTGCTGCATTAAAGGTGTGCACCACCACTCAGCTGGAATATATTTTTAAAATAGGATCATAAACATTAAACATTAAACTCTGAGCCTAAAAATAATTGCATTCTTTGAAGGTCCAGGTTTTCAGTTGGGAGTTTGATAATGTGGCCATGTAGTGAAGAGGACACAGATGTGGGTTAGAAGACCCAGCAACAAATGACTAAATAGAGCTTCGCATTACTCTTCAGCTGTGGGAGTACTGCAGCATGGAACGATCACTATGTCCTTTCGCCTTGGCTTCTCCACAGCACTGGGTTTCCCTAGGAAACAAATGGCCTTACTCCTTATATGGCATATGGCCTTTCGGGAACTGTAATGGTCTGCTCTGTCCCTTTAAGAGACAAGCCACGCCCACTCCCTCCCCTGTCTGCCAAGGCAAGCTGATCTTCAGCTTTCAGCCTGAGTCTCTCCTTTTCTGTCTCCCTCTCCTTTCCCCCCACTT